CAATTCGTTAATTGAAATTAGACAAAAACACTGATTTTTTCACAGCTTCTATTCGATGGTTATGAAATGTGATGATTTTTAGTCTGCATAAGCAGACTAAAAAAAGAATATGTAAGCATGAATATTGCAGAAGTTATTAACAAACAGCATAAAATATTCTATTGAAGATCATGCAATTTTTGCACCACATCATTCTACTGAACTAAATGAAATAAATGATTGAATAAGTCAGGAATGAAGTGAAATCAGAAGTTTGTGGTAAATTATGGTCGAATTTGCTTGCTTTGTAATATATTTAAAATAAGGCAATTTTGCATTTCCGGAAATCACATTCAAATTTGTTATTTCCAGAAAAACTTCATTCGAAATATACACCAAGCTTATTGTTCTTTCCTTTCCATTTACCCATTAAAATCCATTAAATAAGGAAACATTACTGGAAAATTTCTACGCATTTATTATCAATAGTGAAAGTCTTTATTGATAACATCTTCAATCCCCATTTCAGCGATATGGAAACAGCGTCTACAGAAACCTTCACCTTTTTTTCCAAATAAATTTCAGGAATAGTTGAATCATTTCTCATTTCTTAAAAAAGTTAGATGCGAACTGGAACAGGAGATGATAAAAAGATTTCGAAAAATAAAGACCAACTACCAATTAATCATTCGGAAATGTGAAATGATATACCTAAAAAGAATAGAAAAAATGAAGAACGTTTCATGAAGGACGACAATTTTCTGAAAAATATATTCTAAAAGTGCACGAGAAATGAACGATTTTGAAAATGGGCATTTTTTTTGCAAATTCGTAAATTTGATTCTAAACTTGGAAAGCTAGTGAAGGATTTGTAGTCATGCACGGACATTTTTTAAAAATGGATTCACCAACCAATTTTGAGTAGGAAAATAGCTCAGAATTCTGGTGTGGATTGTTTTTTGATACCACTTCCGTAAAATTACAACAGAATGGCATCGTAACAGAATGTCTTGGAAATGCCGTACTACATGATATTAAACACATTAAATAACATTCAACTACTGGTAAAGCTATTACCAGTAATCTTAAAATTAAATCTTGCAGTACAATAAACTTCTAAAATTTGAAGCATCGGTTTTGCTCCATATTTTGAGAATGCATATTACTCTTACCGAAAGAAGTTTTTCCACAAAAAGAGTTCTTCCTAATATAGCGATAAAACGGGAAAGAAAAAGTGCCACAATGATACAGACGAAGGAAATCAGAGAATTAATGAATGAATTCCATTCACTCTCAAAATTTTAGGGAACAAATTTCTTTATTTTTTTGAATTTTAAGGAACCGAAGTATAAGTCAGTTAAAAAATGACATATTTAGCCATCAACAGAAAGATAAATCAGCTGTTTAACGCTCGCACGACTTGTTCAGCGAATGCTTTTAAGTCATCGTTTGTTGCATTTAAAAGACTGTCAGATAATGTCTTTTGTAAACAACAGAGACGATAATGGAAAAGCAGTACCGTTTTCCAAGAAGAGAAGCGAATGACATTAAAAACAGAAACAGGAAAATACTGTTGCAATAGACCCGCTGTCTTAAACATCGGAAATGCAAAACCCATGTCATTCGACAAACACTTCTTTTTCCAAAAATCTTGCGAACATTTGCTAAGTAAACAGTAATATCAAATGTAAAAGGATAAAAGAAACAACAGAAATATTAAAAAAAAGGTAGAGGAATTAGTCCAAGAAGAAAAAAAAGAAAGTTGGTTTAAGAACCCTTCAATACACGCAATGTAAAAAAGGAAAAAATAGCGTATACTCTAAAAAATGAAGTACTTCATAGCTCGGCCCTTCCTAAACTCTTACTTACACTAATCCCTCCCTCCTCGATTTTCAAATTATAATTCACGAGATAGCGTTTCATCAAATCATTTTGCCAACCGGTTAACGAAGCACGACTCCAAACTTCTAGAATATTGCAAAAATCAGCTACGCAAAATTGCAGACTCCCTATGCAAAAAACACATCCCATCGCAGCTGCGACTAAACTGATTCCGTATTTGCAAAAACACTTTTTGAAAGTTTTTGGATGGAAAAGTGCTTCCTACATCAAAAATCATATGATCAAATATATAACTGATATACACGAGATGACGAGGAAGGCCTATGAATGAAAGAGTCGAACAATAGCGATTTGTTCAACCTGTTCCATTCCATTTGCTCACAATAACAATAACGGCAGCAATGAATAGGGTTTACAACCCCTGTCATCCATCATGCATCTGTTAAGTTTCAGCAACATGCAGCGAAAGAGGAGTGCTCAGTAAGCGAGATCAGGAATAATACATCCAAATCGCTTTTAATATTTACATTTCCAATTTTCTCAACTTGAAAAAAGTTAAAATTTTTTTACTGTCCGAAATGAAACCAGCAAAAGACCCATCTTTCATGAGAACTAAAAGCATCAAAAAATCTCTAAAAATTAAAAAATGTATAACACTTTTTTAAGCCTTAATATTTGCCACATAGTTCAGCTGAAATGAATGAGATATTTCTGGTTTAGTTTTTAATACAACATATGTTCATCAAGCACTATTTGATAAGGTTTTAAAGTAACCATTCCTGAAATCAAGCTCTCATTAAAGTCGTTCGGACTTAATAGTGATGTGACCATTACAACTACAAGATAAATATGGGGAATATGAATATGGAAAAGAATACATCATATTTCACCCGTTAATAATGAAAGAAGAGTTGAAATGAATAAAACGCAAGGTTGTGATTGAAATCATGTTCGGCTGTGGTTCCGTAAAAGATCACCTCTTGTCGCGAGGAAAAAGATTGCGAGCTATTCTGGCGATGGCATATGTCTCTGGTAGATTTCCTATGTCATACGGTCTCAACTGTAGAGTCAAACAAAGTCTTACCACGGACAGGATGGTTGGTCTCTCAAGCTCCTGGTAACCATCATAAGAAAAGGACAACTCTAACTTCAAACTCGCACAGATGGAGTTCGTTCAGCTCTATATGACCATCCATCTAAGGAGGGTATTTTAATAAAACTAAGGACACGCTATCACCGTTCTAGCTCACTAGATTGTAGCAGATGAACTTCGAGAGTAAAAGATTTGGCCCAATTCCGCATACGTGGTATCTCATCAAAAAAATCCTTCCCAAATCTTCGTCCACTAAACCTAGCCATGATGATGATGAAGAGATAAGTATGAAGTAAAAGGCATCAACTAGGAGGAAAAGAGATCATGAAAACACTAGAAACCACTCTATACATGAGATACTAGTGGACATATTTCACGATGTTTTTGTCTTTGTTTTCTCTTTTTTTTTTAACCAACAACCGCGAAACGTGCAATATAACAGGTTCTGAATCGCTTCCTCATCTCAATAAGAAACAAGAAAAATGTCCAGGCAGACAGAATTGGATTCTATTCAATTCTTTTTTATTCAAAACTTTTCTTTCAAAACCGTTGATGACTATTGAGGAATGTTACCTGTGTCGTATATAAACTTGCGGCTGAACATACAATAAAAGTAAAAAAGAAGACTAAGAAAACAAAAACAGACTAAAGAATGGACAGCTGGGAATTCCTGAGAAAAGTAGTAGTTGATATATTTTACCAACAACATTCGGAGATTGGGGGATTCAGGATACATTTTACCAACCCAACAACATTGAGAGATTGGTGAAAGCAATGTAAGATGAAGATTCATCTCGACCTTCCAATTATGACTAGTTCCAGTCATAGCAGCATTCTCCATGAAGCTTAGAAAACAAACCGTAAGGACTAATAAACAACTTGTGAATAATGAGAATATATTTTTTTAAAAGCAATAAATAAAATTATAGCAACAACACACTGAGCAGCATAATATCAGCGAATTCATGGAGGATAATTAATATGACCACTGGAATTATAACAGTCGAGGTAATAACTGAACAAGGAACTCTTCCAACCACGCATACTACGAAGAGTAGTTCTCTCCTAACCGAGACAAAATTTCTTGCTTTGTGTGACTTTCACAGGGACACTAACACATGTTTGAAATATGCGACCAAGAAAATGCAAGCAGACTGTGTCCTTTTCTTACATATTTTTATCTATGATGGACTGTGAGCATCTCATTAGTACTACTACTAATAATGATACTGTTATCACCGACCTATTTCGATAATGCGATCTCCCATTAAGACCTTATTTTGGCGATCTTGAAATTATCAATTTACGAAAATTATATATATATATATATATATATATATATATATATATA